AGTTCTTTAGGTATTACTGTTAAAACCCCTATTTACTAATGATAAAAATTGTAAAATGCTTGAATAGCATAGCGCATTTAATTCGTTTAGTTAACAAAACTGAACGACGACTGTAGCCATGGATTAGTTCAATCATTAGTCTAAAATTTAAATGCAGAAATATCAGTTATTTTTTTGTTATAGTATTTGTTTTATAATTAGGTTGTAAAAAAATTGCCACACAAATAAATATAATGACTTACACAATTTAAAACCTAGAACTAAATGCAATTTGTGAGTCAAAATGTTTAAATGAAAAATTCTTTCTAGTAAACAATCGGATTATTTAGGTAAATGATTGGGAATCAAAGCTGTTGGAATCGGATGTTAAATTAAACATGTATTGGGGCACGTTATGGCCTATAATTATGTTCTTAACCCGTTGATTACTACCAGGTTAACAGCTTAGCACACTTTTTCAAGTATAACATTGTAGAGATTTAACAGTTTGAAATACCAACGTCAGAGTACTAGATAATTAATTTTTTATGTTTTTATATTTAACATTGTTTGAACACGTAGCCTAATTTTGACGGGAACGTATACAATATTTGAAACTATGACACGTGTAACGTAGTATAATTTATTTATTTATTACTGTTTTCTAAATCACGTGATCGTTAACTGTTAGGGAAGACCAATTAGGAAACATGAAACATTGTGGAAATAACTTTCTTTTAAAAAAGGGGAAGTAAAAATTCTGTTAAATAATTGCGTTTTATTATAATAAACTCTTTATAAGGTTTGTTTTACCATAAACCTCATAGAACTTATAGTTAGTTGTAGGTCCTAGTTACACATTCCTAGTTAAGTTAAAATATTAAGTTGAATAATATAAGTATACTCAATGGTTACACACTCCAATCATCATCAGACCCAATATGCAAATGTCATTCTGTCAATGTAAATACAGTATTTATTAAAAGAATTGTATACCATTATAAAATTACAGGAGAATTGTCAATACAGTTTTAAATATTTAGACCTAAGGACTTGCATTATAAAACAAATCAAAACAGTTTTAATATTTTACTCTCAAAATTTCCACTTAAAGTTAGATTTTTAAAAATAAATGTTTTTATCATCAACCAGTCAAACCAGATTTTTTTTATTATTAGAAACTAAGTTCCAAATTTTTGGTCTATTATATTGAGGTGATGCTTCAAATAGTTTTCATCTATGTCTAGTGGGTGCAATTAAAAGTCCTATGTCTAGGGTAGTACACATGGTTTGTCTGGCTCCCCCCGAAAACGGACAAGTAGTTGAATACCCGAAATACTGCTTATAAAATATACAGGTCATAAAATGATAACACTTGAAAAGCCTAAAAGATGGTCTTTCTACCATGGCATGAATTTCCCGGCTCAAGAAATATATTAAATGATAAATATGACTGACGTACTGTCAATTGCGTTTTAGTATCCTCTGATTTCAGAAACCGTTCTGAGAGAAAACAATTCTGAAGAAAGTTTTCCCGTGAATTGTTAATTTTAGGAAGCCAATCAAAACTTCTGTTTTTACGCATACTGTCTCTTCTAACATGAACTGCGAATCAGGAAACGTTATCTGTTTTAAGCAATTTCTATGATCAGTTCGAAAAATAACTACTTGAGATTCTTCAATGTTCAAGGAGAGCCCATTTACCATATACCAGTCACATGGAGCAGTAAATTCTGGATCTACTGTGTGCTGCAGGGAAGTTTTGGGAGTGTTAAAAGAAAAATTTCTATTTGTCTTGCGAAATGTAATCACATGTGCAATGCTGATAAAAACATTATCTCATATAACAACGTAATTTAATCAATTACAATCTCGCTATCTGTTTTGGACAATATGTTAGGTTACTACGTTTTTAAAAGAAGAGTTTTTAAACAGGATCACAGTTAAATGCAACATAATTTGTAATATAAAACCATGTTCTATTTTGATAAAATATACTATTTTCCATAGCAAACTGTTTTCTCGTGGGGTTCATCGATTGGTTTGGTATACTGTTATGTAAATATCAATCTGCTGTAATACTGGTGCATTGCAAAATATTTATATGATCCTCTTGAGACTAGCATTCTTATCCAATCATTTTAAAATGTTTCAACTTCCACGAAAACTCTTGTTCTGTCATTATGTTGTCTATATCTAGTATTGTTTTTTTAATTTTTAAATTACCGGTATTCATATAATTGGTCATACCATTACTCATTTTATAAGCTTTAGGTAAAGTAGTTTTTATGTTAGGATTAATTTTACAAAATGAATGAAATCACTGTGAATTGTAAAAGGTAATTAAAATTATTTTCAAGGGATAAAAGCTGATATTCATTAACACTGTGAGTGTAGAATGTATTTTAACACGAAAAAACTGAGATGTGTGATCAATTGCTCATGTTATTACATTCTATAGGTTATATACATCGATGGTTATTACACCCCTTTAATATTTAAGACGTCAATAGTTCGCAGTCGATAGTCTTTTAAAAAAAAGTAACAATTTATATGTTTAAACCCTGTGATATGAGAGAAAGTTTTTATGAGTTTGTTGTTCAAAATGAATGTAATATAGAATTACTGTTGATAGCAACGTGCAAAAGCTTCTTAAAACGAGGATTACTTCAATTAAGGCTACGTTAGGTGTCAGGTATTGAATAATTTCAGCCACAATCATTTAAATTACCATTTATTACCCTGTTACCGTATTTTAATGAACACATTTATTGAAACACAACCTAAAGGAAAGTCCCGAAATACGAAATCTTCTATTAAGTTATACATATATTTTAACTAAGTTGTATTAACAAACTTCTTCAGGTACAGTACGGAAAAGAAATAAGGCTAAAGGAATATTCCAAGCTTGATTAGCAATTTTATTAAAAATTTGACTTTCTACATTTTAAATGAGTTGACTGTGAAATTAGGTTTCTCGTTATAGCTATCATAAAACTTATATCCACTCAAAATTTATTATTTGAATATAAAGTTCATCCATATAATCTAAATACAAGATTAAAGCTAGGTTTAATGAATTCCTCATATCTAATGTTATTGACAAGAAAAATTACATATTTAGCCATAAAATGACTTGGTTCTAATATGAGACTTACACATCTTTACAATAAATTCTCGTGCAAAAGAGAGGCGAATTACTTTAAAGATACTATTTTTTCTAGATATACACTATTATAATTGCAAAAATACTAATTCAAAAATAGCTTACAGTCTTTTTCTATAACATGTATCAACCTATATATTAGTAGCTTATAATAATTTTTATAAATAAGCAAGTCTATATCACTCTCTGTTATAGTAGGTCTATCACATAACATTATTCAACAACTTTTCATAAATTTAATTAAAAAAAAATATATAAACCTTCATAACCAACGCAGTATAGAGAAAGTATATCTTAGTTTTTTACTCCCAATATCGCAGTACAACCTACTATTGAAAAACACATAACTGTCTACGACTGCAAGTAATAAAATAAGAAATAAATAAAAAAGGAACACCAATGAAATACAAATCTATAGTTTCATCAAGACAATAGTTAACAATTTTAATACTAACAGTATACAGATGTAAAGAGTACATTACGTAAATATTTCCGCTATTTGCATGAAGACCTTCAAGCCAGAATCAAGTATAACACTATTCACATTTATAAAATTATCATCATAATTTTATAAATTATGCTACAGTTCTTATCAATTACTAGCTGTTACCTACTGGCTTCGACCCCTTTGACTTGATAAATATTAATACAACTATTGATTGGTTAAGTTAAGCTGAAAGGAAAAAAACTGAATACAGTAATACAATTACATAATCACACCTGATTTTAATAGGGTATAATTTAAAAGAATAGCAAACAAATAAGTACAGCTGAGGTAATTTTTACATTAGGTATATGTAAAGTTACATTTAGAAAGGAAATACGACCGTAAAGTAAGACCAATTTATTATATAATCGATGGTTTTGCGCAAGGTTTCTCGTCATGACGAACATTTCAAATATATGGTTTATGGGGGTGTTACTTTGAGTTTTCTCGAAAGTTCATTGCTACTTTGGGATTTATATATGGATTATCATCAATTATTATTATTATATACAATTATTATCATTACTGTACATCATTTGATGTCAAATTTACTTTATTTAAAACATACTGTCGTATGTTAAAAATGTTAAAATGAATTACGTAGTTTTTGTTAAAAAGAAGACTTAATTACAAACTGACTGATGAGTTTTTTTCCATTTGTTTGGTCGTATTTGCACTAAAACATAACCTTAAAGTTGTCAGTTTGATTTACAATTCAAATAGGAAGTTATTCAGTTTATTTAATCCTAAAGGGAAGGTAGTAAAGTGGGGTTTTTATTGTTATCTTAATATTTCAGGTATAAATATATGAATTTTCCATATTAGTTAAATGTATATCTATAAAGAAGCAATCAACTATACGACAGCAAATACATCCTCATTTAAAATACCGAATAAACTTTAAATTTAAAAGTTTTGTTTTCTCCGTAACCATAATACGTACAAGAGCGTTTCAAAGTAGCTTGATTTCTTTCTTTAAACTTTACAAAGCGATTTTAAAAAAACTGCAAAACTTGGTTTATTTAGGGGAAAAATTATATTTTACCCCATAACACCCCGTTCCTTAGTCTGATCGTGCTAGTAGATGTACTTTGCACTCATTAAAATCATATGCCTTTGATTCAGGTTATCGTGCTAACGGACATACAGATTGAAATTTTAACCTCTAGGGACATAGAAATAAAAAAAAAAAGATAACTTGGAGTTTATTGTATTACCATAAGATTCATGGGAAAAGCTTTTTCCTCAATGGGGAATTCGTATAAAGGTAGAATCAAATAAGTCACAAATCCTAAGTCTCAGAGAAATGTACCATGTAAATATACACATGGCAGATGAGAATTTAAACCAAACCTACACCTAGAAATTTTAGGCAAATTTTGAGTCTAACACTCACAAATCTGTTAAGTCTACACATACACAAATATGCTTAACACCAATGTCAGTAAAATCCTGCGTAGCAACGTTATGTAACTACTATTGACGTAATCTGTCATCATTATTTGACGAAGACGATGTAAAACGAACCGTTGACGTTTGATGACCCAAGGCACAACGTCAGTACGGGCACTTTCAGACTTGCGATGACGTCATATGCCTGTGGTTGACGTGGTTGGTCAACAACGGTTGGTGCTGTGGATGACGCCATGACACCGGTTGGCCCGCCACACAGATCTGCACCAATGGCCGTCTACAGGTGTGGTGCTGTTGCATGTTGGGACCTGTCGCGCAGAAACACTGTGTTTGTTGCTGTTTGAGGACAAGTCGTTGTTGCTTGTACCTCTCGTTGTTTGAATAGTCGTCTCCAGTGCCTCCTGAACCATAAAAACAATAAAACATACATAAAGCTTATGACTATTGATGCATCTCCAGTAACCAATAGTTTTTGTCTTTTGTTATGTTAATGGACAGTTAATTTAAATTTAAAGAAAAATAACTAGTTTTTATCACCCCGTACAGAAAGTAGCTGTTTTCGATAACAGCTGATGTCAAAGGAAGTAATTGTTTCCTAATGTCCAATTTTGAGTTAGAGGAAAATGATCAACTGAATTTCCTTTCATCTAAATAATTTACTTACCCTTTCTCCTAATCAGCCTTCCATTTACTATCTCCGCGCTAGTGTCTGTTCGCAATTTATTCATAATATTAAATGAGCTGCTGTTATTGTTCATACATAAGTATGCATTACTTATTTGTGCTTTGGTATATATCTTGAAGCACAATGAACGTTGCCTTGAACTTGTTTAGATGATGTGCCATAATCTTTTTTTCTATTTTTTCCACATTAAAGTTATATTAATTAGATTACAGTTATATTAGAAAATTAATTACCGAAGTTTGATATTTTGTACGCGAGTATTGTTGCGTGGTGATAAAAAGTATCGGTCATTATAATCGCTATTTATAATTCAAATTATAATAATTTGCCGGAACTTGCTAATTTTTTTTCCATACCCGGCTTTACTTCATACATGAGTATGACCCACACAATCTTGGCTTCACCTCACAACCGAAATTTGTGTTCCTGAGGACTATATATATTATAGGACTATTCTATAATGAATAATAAAGAAACTGAAGAACTTAATACTGTTATATTAGGAGTAATTTTTTTCCGATTTCTTTTGAGCGAATTTCTCTAGGTGGCATGGTAAGACCTAGGCCTAGGACCGATTTACTTTTTTCATTTTGATGTCCCCAGAGGCTAAAATCATCATTCGTTAAAAGTTTAAAATGAGTATATATTAATACGTCCGTAAACGCGATAACTTGAGTAATTTTGTCCGATTTTGATGAAATTTGGTTTAAATGTGTAAGGCGGGATAAAATTAAATGAGTTTGAGAACCAGCTTGATCGGACCATGGAAACAGCGTTTTACGGGAGGTTCTATAGGAATAAAATGGGTTTTTATTATTTTTGACCCTCAAAACACAAAATTTCCCAAATTCTCTCTAAACCTTTATAAAGAGCTTAAAAACAAATAATTTAGTATATCAAAGAGTTTTTGTACGGTATTTGACATGTAAATTTAAAATTCCCATTTTTTTCTTATGGAGAATATTGTAAAAAATATATTTTGATCAAAATTGGCAAATTAATTTATTGTATACTAACCTATTAATATTTTACTAAAAAACACACTTTATTAGTTTTCTTGTAGTAGCAAACCTTGTACTCGTTAAACCTAATGTAATTTAAATAGATCAAAATCAATTCGGACAAATGGAAATTCGCTTAGTCGACAGGTTTGCTGCGGTGGGGTATTTTGACTTTATTTATGAACAATCTCACCAGATCTAGAGCGAGAATACGAGTGAGAACACCGTCGTATCATGGGTGGCGTGTCAGCTACGTCACTGTGCTGTTCTGATCGTTGAAGACATCGCCATTCACACACGGCAGTCCGGAAATATTGTCTGAACCTGTAAAACGAACGTCAAATCTTCATCAATGTAATATATTTTAGGTAAACAGTAGTATACATTTATTTTAAGTAAGTAAAGTTCATGAAATTATGGAGGTTCAATTGACGGTTTCTTATATGGGTTTTGATTGCTGAGTGTTGGTCGTTTTAGGTACATTTAAGTTTGCCTTTCAGTGCAAAACTCAACGTTTTTGTGCCCTGCCAGCTTACCTTTTGCTTAGTTTAATTTTCCTTGCATAGGCTTATGGATTTTTCTTGTATATAAACAGAGGTTGGTGGCCTATTTCGAACTTGCATTTGCCCATCCACATAAGCCTATGCGTGCAACATACCCAGCAAACCAAAAAATGAACGGGTGAACAACTAGGGTGAAGTGTACTGATATAAATTAGTGGCAGGTACCAATATTTTAACCAACGACATCTTTGTCTCCGGTACGAAGTGGTTTTACTAACTGTGCCACCAGATCACTAATATTTTGCGGACAGGGAACGGATAAATCTGGTTATGGAAGAGGAACCAAAATACCTTTAATAAAAAAAAAAATATTGTTGCAAAACAATTTCACATAACAATTTAGCAAAGTATTTAATAATCTTTACTAACTAAATTATAACCAAATGTTTTTTGTAACAGTTTAACAGTTCGTATGGCCTGGTTTTATTCAAGAATCAAGAATCAAGAATCTTTAGTACCTTTGATCCATTCATATACAGACATTGGCATAGTCAATAAATTAAATAAATACATCACATTCTAACAATAATTACAAATACTTACACATGCTAAATTAACAGTAACGATACAGAGGTGAACAATAGCAACAATAGGCTAACAGTCAATAACATGAATTAAATCTTAAAATTAATATTACAAGGACATGATAAAAAATCTTCTATTTTATAAAAAGGATTGGCAATAAGCCAATCAGATATTTTAATTTTAAATTGTTTTATAGTCACAAATCGGGCAGTGTCAGGCAGTTTATTGAGAAATCTCACATAGTTAATTTTAAAGCAGTTTCCTGTTTTTGCTAAGCGGTGCTGAGGAAGGTCAAATTTGTTTTTTCCTCTTGTGTTAGGCTATGGAATGTTTTTCTATTATTGAAATCTGTAATATGTAGTTTGGTATAAATGAGAATGTGGTAAATGTAAAGATTAATAACAGTCATTACACCGGCTCATACATTAAACATATATAATGTCACATACATTATATAATTATATTATTGTGTTTTTGGAGTTGTGTTCTGGAGTTTTATAAAAAATGGTTTGCAATGTTCAGTGTCACTTCTCCTAAAAATTTTTCTAATGATGTTTTTCTGTATTGTAAGTATGTCATACACAAAACCCGAATGGCCCCAAAGAGTAATGCCATACGAAAGATGGGACTGACAAAAAGCATAGTAAGCCACCCTTAGATATTCAAAACTCACAATATCCCTAAGCTTCAACATGAGATAAGAAACTCTTGAAATTTTTCTGCACACATGCTCAACATGAGCCTTCCAATTCAATTTGTTGTCAATAAAAAATCCCAGTAATTTAACAGTTTGATAATCTTCAACATGAGCCAAACTAAGCAACATGCTTTGAGTTTTCTCCTTGTTACATAGCAACTTATTTGAAGAGAACCAGTTTTGAGCTGTGTTAAAGACACTACTTATTTGTTCCTCAAGACACATTAAGTTCCTGTGTGAAGATAGTAAGGTTGCGTCATCTGCATATATGACAACCTTAGAGGCAATGTTAGATGGAAGGTCATTAATGAAAACAGTGAATAAAAATGGCCCAAGAACAGAACCTTGGGGAACACCGGTATTGTTGGTTAGTATTGAAGACTGGCATCCATTTGTAGAAACACATTGGGTTCGATTGGAAAGATATGATTGCAGCAACTGAAGGGAGCTATCTGAGATACTATAGTATCGAAGTTTGTTTAAAATGATTTTATGATGGACTCAATCAAAAGCCTTGCTTAAATCACAAAGCTTAAGAGAGACTGACTCTTTATTTTTAAAAGACACTAGCACTTCATTAACTTGACTAGAAACAGCAGAGGTTGTAGATTTGTTTGCCCTAAAACCATGTTGACAATTACTGAGAAGACCATTTAATTCAAAGTGTTTGACACGTTGAGAATGAATAAGAGATTCAAAGACTTTCGAAAATATTGGTACAATGGATACTGGACGATAATTCTGAGGTAGAGACCTGTCACCTTTTTTGTAAACAGGTACTACTTTTGAAATTTTCAATACATCAGGAAAATACCCATGAACTAAACATTGATTTAAGACAAACGTAAACGGTTCGTAAATATAATTAATCGATGATTTGAGCAAGTAGTTAGAAATCCAATAAAAATCCGTACTCCTAGAATTTGAAATTTTGGAAACAGTTTTAAAGACCTCCTCCGCTGTTATTGCTGACCAATGAAACACAGGTGCATTGTGTCGTGATGACTTAACTAGATTTTGTGCCAAGGTGTCAGCATCAGGTATGTTCTTTTGTATGTTTATAGACTGACTCAACAAAAAAGTTATTTAACTGATTTTGATTGAGTGTAATTTTTCTTGTAGATGGGATGGGTAGAGTTTATTTAGATATTACCTCACAAGCAGTCTTACATTTGTTCTTTGAATTTTCAATAAAATCAGAATATGCTTGTCTCTTTGCTTTCTTTATCTTAGCTTTATAATGTCTTTTAAAAAACAAATAAGAATTATATGCTGCCTCAGTCTGGCCCGATTTGTCCCTTTCCATGCTCCTGTAAACATTGTAATAGCCTAACATTAAATCTTTAGCCTTTTTAAGTTCATCATTAAACCAATTAGTTTTCTTTTTAACATCTAATTCCTTACGTTCTACTAAAGGTGAACAATAATGCCAAATATGTACATATCTATTGAAAAAGTTTTCAAACAAAGTTTTAACATCTATTATGTTATTTAAATACAACCCAACCATGTCCCAGGTTTCACACTCAAGCAATTGATTGAAAAGCATGATCTGCTTTTCATTTTGCTTGCGCACCAGATTTGTGCCTGGTACACAATTGTTAGTTGTTAGTTGTAGTTGCAACTAAGTTTAGCGACCTCATGATGTTTTTGAAAGTTACTGTTGTAGGGTCACAGTCTTTAAAAGATTAATATTAAAATCACCACAAACAATAATTTTGTTTGCAAATTTGTGTAGTTTCTTCACAGCCCTGTCAAAATTATCAAAAAATATTCTAAAGTCTCCATTTGGAGGCCTATACAAAGATAAAATACAAGTACCATTGACCATTACTGCAGTTAATTCAATATTATTTACAAGGAAGTTCCAAATTTATAGAGAATTGTTTGAAAATGTGAAATAAACACCTCGAGTCACGGACAAATATATAATTAAATATCTTTAAAACTATTGAATTAAATCTTTATTTTAGGTTAATTAAGTGTGAGTATTTTATAAACCAAACTTATAAATGTTTTTATTTGCTTGTTTCTTCTTATCCCTCAAACCCCTCACACCAAATCAACTAAATCTTCACAGAAAAACAGATACTTTGTCAAGGAGTTTTATAGGTCTTCTTGCTGCTGAGATATCTTTATTTAAAGATTTACCTCAACCCTTTAACATTCTGAGACTTTGAAGGATAATAATAAATTTAACGTTATTTTGTTACATTATTAATTTACTTTACATCCACCTGTCATAATAAACTTACACACAGTAGATAAATTACCAAATTTCATAATTTGTTAACCTTACCATGATTGTGTCTTGTTAAGTTATTAGTTGTTATTTAAACTACCTTTATGAACGGTCCTTTATGTAAACATAAGTAAATGTTTAGTGGAAACTTGATAGACATTCGTTTTAAAGCAGGACTGATATAATTAATTGACTTATCAAAATAAAATTGTACACAAAAATAATTTTGTCATGACTAACATAGCGGACTAACATAAAATCTTTTGATACAGTACCATGAATTGAAAAGCTAAGTTTTTATTCACTGAACCATAAGTTTAATCCATCAGGGTTTTGAAAGAGTAAACGCTAAAAGCATAATTAAAACTCAATTTATTAAATGAATGCTTCAATTCCAACACAAATTGGAAGCTTTTAGTAGGTTATCTTTAGACGGTTGATTTAAATTAAACTATCTAATTAAAGATACATATTGTAGAGATAGGATACAAATCTATCGTATGAGATTAAAAGTGACCACGATGAAATTGTTGTAAGCAAAGAGCTTGTGATTATAACTTTTAATGACTACACACGATGGTACGTAATGTGTAATATATACCTTAAATAAAATGATTTAATTAATTACAATGTATCTATTAAAAATGTGAATAACCCTAATTACTCTAATGTTTAGGTATAAAAGAACGTTACTTCACAAAGTGCTCAGATTCGGCGAACAGCTTTGGTTGCAATAAAAACGTTTCTTTTTCCTCATTCTAAATTAAAAACGTTTTTACACACGTACCTAAGTTGCCACAAAGGACAAATAGAATAAAGACAAATGAAAAATCCTTTTCATTATTTGAACAAAGACGTACCAGTGGGTTCCACATTGAATACAGCTTGGAACGTGTATGTATAATATGATTATGGAAAAAGAAAAACATGAAATACCTAATTTTTCTTGAAAATCTTTCTTTTACCATCCATCACAGTTATTTTAGATCTTTTAATTCAAATAAAAGTCAACCATACACAGTTGTTTCACACGTTTAAAAAGCGTGTAACGTATAACAAATTCTTTTACGCGTAATAATATAAGTATGGATTCAAAGGTTTTGGGGACCTTTCTTTTCGAGATTCATTTATATAAGGTTTAGTCTCTCAAATTATCTAGTTAAGAAGCTAATAAAAGGCTCATTTGTATGTGTTGAAGTCAAATGATCCTGTTTGCTACTGTTATTGCTAGCAGCTTTAAATGTGTAGCTTCGTCTCAACCTCTGCAAAAAATATCATTAATCAGTCGCAAAATCCTATTGGCAATGCCAGTCTTTGTTTATAACAATTAAAAATGTCTCTTTGTTAATTATTTTTATGTTTGGTTTTTTTGACATTTTGATGACCTAAACTTCCTCCTAATTATTGATGAACTATCACCTCATAATCATAATGACGTAATGACGTACGTGTAATAAGTGTGTAATAAGTATAACACGGATAAATTTCACTTCAATGTTGCATATGTTGACTGTGGCAAAGGCAAAACAAACATTTATTTCAATCGTGTTTATTAAATAAATTCTTTATATTTTTTAGATTAATTTATAGATATTATTAAGGCAAAACAACATTAATACTGTAATGTGTAAAGTAAAGTTGTGGTCAAAAGTTATAGAACCGTCTGCAGACAACCGTAGACAAATCGTTTCGGGCATTTCCCGATGAACAACAAAGTTTAAAATTCTGTGACATGTTTGGTCAGTGTGGTCTAAACTTTTATATCATTGTTAGAGGTTTCTGTTGGAATATTTTAGTAATTTAAAAACATGACTTTAAGCCTTTTAGGAGTGAAATATATTGATATGCTGTTTAACTTATTCGTATTTGACTTTTGCATTTTATGCCACTTTGATCCCTCTATCTTTGTCAATAATTTAATTTAGTATTACAAACTTTCAGCTTCATTAATCTAGTGTTTGATTGACATATGCCGTTTTATAACTTTTTTCAAGAGGTTAGGTTAGGGACCCCTACATTTGCCCGTTCACATTGACAATTTTCCCGAGCGTGGAAAGTATCCAGAAAAGCAAGGGGTGAGCCAAGGCCGCACTAGATATACCAAGTAGTATATCTAGGGTGGCCTTGGATGAGCCGGTACAGTACGAAGGTGAATTGTAGTGATAAAATATTTGCGGCTGTGACCAAGATCTGAACCCACGACATCGCTGCCTTGTCTGAAATCCTTGATGCTACCAACTAAGCCACCAACTCACCATAAAAACTAATAGTGTTTAGAGACATATAATTCAATAAAAATACATGCCTCCGTTTTTTAGATTATTTCAGAATTATGTTAGAACTGAAACCAAACCATGTGTTACTTACCTAGCATTCATCCAGTAGTATATGAGCGGGTTGACCATCGCATTGGACATGGCTAGCCAATAGAACATGAGATAGAGATGTTGGACGTACTTGGAGTACGGAACGTCACGATGGTAGTGGGTGTAGAGGAAGTACGAGTGGTAAGGGAGCCAACACACTCCGAAAATCGTGACTATAACTATAAACATACGGACTACCTGAAAAAATACAAACTCTATAAGGAGTCTGGCATCACTGAATTTTGGATACTAAAGCACACTTACCATATTTGTGGACCAGCTTGGTATTTCAATGACATGCTAAGGTAAGGTATTATTTGTGAACATTTTACCAGGACACGACATGTACTGTACAAATACATACATCCACAGACATACGATGGATATCTGTTCAACCTGCGTTCAGGTCCAAAAATAAAGTCTTTGTACCCTGAAAAAGCAGAACGTTCTTCAAGTTCCTCGAAACGACGGGTCAATCTCCAGGACGATTACGTGCAACGTGTGTGTGTGTGTGTGTGAATCTGACAGTCTATGACGAGTCTTAGATATCACCAGACAATAAATAATTGTAAATATATCAAAAGACAATATACAAATATTTAGTTTAACAAGGGTTTATTTAATCATATGAAGGTGAGTAACGCCAACAAAATATAGATAAATGGGCCAACTCTGGCCGAATAAAAAAAAAAAAACATAATTGCTCTAACAAGAGTTGGTCATCAATAATTATATTTTGCATTAATTCTTTATTACCGTGACAATTTACGTGCCATAAAAGAAACTGTTATTGCATGTTTCAATTACAAAGTGTTGCATAAGGCCCGATCTCAATGCATACTTCGGTCGCTCTACTCAAAAATGTGTTTAAAAAGACTTCTGCATAAAAACATTGTAGTCCCATTTGTTTGAGCATGACCATAGCGATTTTTACTTGTCAAAGTTGTATGAAAGTTCGACATATAAACTACTCTACCGATTGTTTACATTCCGTTCTCCAGTCATCCAAGGCAGGAAATTAACTTAGAACTTTATCAAAGCGGCTGTCTAGAAAGTTAAAAGTCAAAGCTAGTTAGTAGAACTGAATCAAAGATTGTTTGTTGTGTTGTTGTTGTTGTTGTTGTGTTTGTTTTTATCGTAGACATTACATGGGGGACCAAGACCCCTGTATTTTACTTATGTTTCCGGTCGAATGAAAGTAACTCTTATAGTATTCTACCCAAATTAAATTTTGATCACATGTTAACCAAAATCTGTATAAGTCTGTATTTTATTTCCTAGGCCGCTAGGAACGAGCTCGGGATTTTCTTTTACATTACTTCAGGCTAGACCTAAGGGTTGCGGCATTTAACTTGCATAGAATCCATTGGTGATTTGGCAGGATTTGAACCCGGGACCTCAGGAACCGATGTCCTGCGCTCTAACCACTAGACCATTTCGCTCCCCCGCTAAACCTGTACTAAGGATGGGTGATGGGTACTCTGCTAGAATACATATATAAAAAAAATCTAAAATCTGCGACCTCCTCCTCTATATTAATGTAAATGTAAAGGTTTGTATAGCATTAATTGATTTATAACAGTGTAATATCGTAATGGATGACAGAGTTTTTAGAGGAGAACTGTGCGCAATATAATATTCTAGGCCTATACATTTAATTTTTACGTCAAAAAAACTTAATCCTAATAAAGAATAGGTTTTACCGAAGACGTAACAACGTAGTTTAATAGATATAATATTTTAGGCGTTTAATATCAGAAAAGTTTAGAGACCATTTTGTCCAGTTGACGAAAAAATGTTTATGTTCTTGATCATCGATAAAACCTCAAAAAATATATAACATTGTAGGCTTTTAAACTCTAAACATGATTGATGCATTGGTAATTGATTGTATTCCTTGAATAAGAATACTCATTGATTTAATGTTTTTTTTTTTTATTGGGCTATAGTACAACATTTATTTGATTGTGAGCTAGTTGAATGAATTATTTGAAATTGATATATAAATTTGATAAACCTGCAGGTTTGAGGTACTAGGAATATTTGTCTACGTGGTGTAGTTGAGCGATGCCTTAAAGTAATTGGTTCTTCTAAATGTCAAAGCCCTTTTGACAACAAACACCTTTCAAGAGATCTTATTTCCTACACCTTTTGTGAGGCTGTATTTGTCGTATACAATTCCTTCTTAAGATTGTTCTTAGGTAAATTTGATTTTTAAAGCCATCACTAAAACAATAACTACAGTACAGGCTTAGTTGTAATGCTGAACATTGTTACCCAATATTTTGTAGATATTTTAGTTTTTAATTATTTAGATTTTTGAAAGTAGATCAATTAGAACTTAAAACCCTTTTTTGATTGAATTTAGTTTGTACTCAATACAAATAAATAAACTTTTTTTTAGATAATTTGATACAGTTGCCGTTAAGTTATATAGAATGATACTGATTCAAGAAGCACATATGACAGAATTACCTTCCGTTTAGACTTTATGGAGTCTATTTGCCTTTGAGTGAGCTCTCCAATGGATCGACTTCCCCATAGCTCTCTCCCCATAGCAGTGTAACATCCCAGCATAGCTGCCATTGGAGTTACATAAGTCACCATGAACAGCACCAAGTTATATCTAGGATAAAAAAGAAGCTGTATTACAATGCATTTGAACTGAAACCGTTTTTTTTATTCTAACTTAAAAGCTCAAGATCAAAACAATCTTTTTTACTTAAGTATATAACTAGTTCGTAATGAACATATAATCAGTTCTAAGCACTGTATTGAGTGCAAAATGTAAACACAATAATCTTCAATATTGCAAGAATAACAGTAGTTGTAGAATGTTTTGTCTAAGGATAATACTTCCCAGTCTTGTGCTTTAGAGGAAATGCCTTTAAAGGATTTCCCTTCACAGACATTATTGTTGAAAATTAAATAGTGTATGGTGTATTTCAAGCGAGTTTACTGAACGAACTCAATACATATATTTAATTTATTTTATTTAGTTTTAATGTAGACGACGTAGTCAAATTTTGTATACAAAATATTTATTTTATCATGTAATTTGTTTTAGTATAAATATTAGCTGATATACGTATTTTAGTAAGTAGACACCATTATGCACTAAGCCTGTAAGACTTCAAGGTTTAAAATAACATTACAAAGAGTGTTATCATATTATATACAATTATAAGAATATGTAACTTATAAGAGCAACGTTCAATTTTAAGTTAATACAAATGCAGTTTTTTTTTCTGTAGAATAAAATGAGGAAAACTACAGAATGACGGTTGAGGCTGTATAAACGATTATTTTAACTGTTTCCTGAAAATATTAAATGTTGTATAAAAGAAAGCAATTAAATTCAAAATTATTAATATTCATAATCCTGGTGTTTTTGCTAATGTGTAATTTAACAGAATGCCTTTTCAATTTTATTAGAGGGTTGTAAACATAAAAGATAAATATGAATTTATTTTTATGGTTATTAGTGTAATATACATATACGAAGGTCAATCAATGACATTTTTAAAACTATAGCTTTATTACAGCCCTTCTTATCTCATTTAAATTGATAGTAAATAAGAAATAAAAAAGAACAGTAAAAACTAAAGTTTTATCAAAACTATTTAATAAAAGTCATGCAAATATTAAATTAATGCATACCAACCAATTAATTATTTCGTAAGAATAGTGCCAATTGTTTTCAGTACACTTAATCGTATTCAAATTAACTATCAACTTAATAAATACTATGTGGGAAATAATATTAAATATTTTTTAGAATAACTATTAAACAAATTCTAACTTTTAACAAGTCCTTATAGATAAAATGGCAATAGCCTAAATGTGCATAATCTTACATGTAATCCATTGTAGAAACCAAAGGCTGCCCGTCCGGCCATATTAAAATACAAGCAGTTTGGCCTGAGGGTCTGGAAAAATAGAATGTGTTAAAATTTCAACAGCGACATGTATTACGTATTAATTATTTTGTATAACTACACACCTTGAAATTTTTTTTTGTATCGTGTATGTATTTAAGCTGTAGCATTCAAACCTCTTAGTTGCAGATAAAATGTTAAGCAATACATATAGTGTTATAAAACATCGTATACCCAAGAATTACACATATGTACTTAACGCGTAAAAGGGTTGGTACGTTTTGAAGGAAAGGAGGAAAACGAAATAAGCATGTAAAAAAGGAATATAGCTACCTCCTTTCCCTCATAAAACTTCAAACATGGAGTGGATAGTGGAAAACCGGAAAGAATACATGTTGACCACCAATTATGAAGTGTCAGATAGCTGAAGCGGCTTAGTTTGTGTGACGAAAGACTCCTTTACTGGACGTCCGGAAAGAAAGAGGAGATTATTAATCTGACGTTTGAAAGGGAGGAACAGAATTAAGTAGAGTGAAGAAGATTAGTTCTGGGAAACTTGTCCTGCCCGAGGTGAACAAGATCGATATGAGGAAATAAATTGATTAAATATCATTAAAATTGGAATGACTCGTAGGAAGGATGAGGAAAGCCCCCCAAAAACAATCAGAGTCGCATCGCTAGATTATACTGGTAAAATGAATTGAAAATTGGTTGCTTAAGTATCTGTACAAAATAACAAAAGCGACGGTGGTGAACGACGGTGGTGATAGTGGAGAGTTTTTTTGTTACTCTGTTGAAAGAATTTCTAAGCACAAGCACATCCCGCCAACCACTAATTGAAACTATATATACCTGTATAGAGATGGTATCTTGGGCCCTGTGCTTAGGATTCATCCTACTCAGTACTTAGGTATCTTTTTGTAATCCATTTTAAATTAGATAGACACACCTAATACCAAAATCTTAGTCATATTATCTGCAATTTACTTGATCTTGAAAAAAAATTCTAATGTACTAGTAATTGGAAATTAATGGATTATTAACCTAAAAATTGAGTATTGTAAAATTCCAATTTAAAACCCATTCAGTACTAGATTTTATAGGTTAAATAAAAATGAAAATAAATAAAAATTGCGATGAAATATGAATTATTGACATGTACAGAAGTTTTAAACTTAATTGGAAAACTTTGGCAACCAGAGAATTTAATCAGAGCAGAAGAATAGTGAACTGTATTGGCTTTTAAAAACTATATTCTCTTATTTAACTGTCAGTGGAGCAAGAATATTGGCTCTCTTACCTATTTGTATCTCGATTCTTTGTTTTTCCATATCCGGAATTCGTTTACATGATCGTTACAGATATGTAACCTAGATACTTCGAAACTCTACCAACATTATGTTTTCTCTTTATATAACTGCTTTGAAAATTGCATCTAGTTATTTTGACAAATATTTACCCACAAATATCACAATCTAAAGAGGGAGTGTCTTAGTTATTTGTATCAAACAGTAATTAGTACACTTTTTTATAGGATTTTATAGAAATTCCTACAGAAACATTCTTTAAGACCATAGCTGTCCCTGTAGGTAACATATATTTCAGTTTAAAATGTCCTATACGATATAAATATTATATAGTTTAACAACAAAAGGTTCTACCATTTGTCTGTTAATTCAAGAGTGAATTGATTTAGAGGTGATCTTATTATTGGTCAGTGATCATAAGTGGGTACAGCAAAGTATTTATACATACAATGGTTCCATTATAATTATGTTTTTGTTTACTATGCTTAATTGGAAAATATGCTTCTTAGACCTTAAACGTCAATAAGTGTGTTAATATTGCATATTTTACATTTATGTAGTTCAATGAGTTCTCATTGAACCCTAATGTTAATTATAAAGCGTTTAAACAAATTTATAAGTGTTTTTCTTATATTTTAAGAATTACAAACTTGTATCCAACCTAATAAATCTAACGTCAACATTTTAAATGGTAAATCCAGTCACAACTGGATCCGATTGACCGTTAAGTACATTGAAGAAGAATACATCTGAATCCATACATCTTAAAAATAAACTCAAACATCGTAAATAACATGAACCTTACCTGTGAGTGACTGTAGTAGAATACATAAGGCAAGGAGATCCCAGTATTAAACTGGTCAGCCAAATTGCTGCTATGGTAATTTGAGCACTGGTCTTTGACATCCTAGGTTTCAGAGGTCTATTGATTGCCAGAAACCTGTTTGAAGATAATTACATTACATCTCCCTCCTCAAATAATATCCTTAACCTCGATTGCAAATGTAAAAAGTAAATGTGTAAATTGTGTATTACAAGCTACGTAACATAAGTAATGTATGAAAAAGGATAGAAGGACACAGCATATAAAATCCAAATTATCATTATTATTGCCATTTCCCTATACGAATGAAGCTATTACCGCAGGTAGCACGGCAATAAATAACCTTGGACCAATTTAATTGTACATCTTTATGTATTCAGAGGGCAAATCACTATTCGTTCAAATTCGTACATGTGTTGTGTGTTTGCGTCCTTGAACACCATAACTCATGTAATGTTGGTCCGATTTTTGTGAAGTTTTACACGAACTATGAGGTCATTGTCATCCTAGGTTTTAGAGTTCTGTTGTTTGCCTGAAAACTGGTTCAATATAATATAAATATTACAAAGCTATTTTATACCTAACCTCAACCCTTTTGATAAATGTAAAATGTACGATTAAATATCAGAAAAGATGTGAATTATAGGTAACGTTACATAAGTAACGTATGCAAAAGATCGCACCACAACAAATTTAAATCGAGCCTTTTTCTATTCTAACCTACATTTGTAAAAAGGGGGAAAAATATTGGGTTACCTCGTCTAACCTATCGTTTTTCACCTAACCTAACCTAATCCAACCTAACACTAAAGCCTTCCTCTTAAAAATGTAAACTTTACGTACTAATCGCATTATTTTATTCATCTTGTGTATTGCCTTCCGGATTACTTCATGAATTGTATACAAGAGGTTAAGTTACCTTGATTCTGTCCAAGTAATCCTTAAGTCCTTTTGTATAGTTATTTATCTTATATCCTTGTATTTTTCGTAATAGGGAAGTAGCTATTACACATTTTTTTCATACCAAGGATCCATTCCCTTTGTATTTTAGGTTTTTGCCTAGGTTCCTGAAGCAATTACCTTAATCTTAAATTGTTTGTTGATGGTTTATAAACCTAAGTATGGAAATGCTTTTAGAATTATACCAAAATGAAAACTCCAAAATAATGTAAATATTTGTTTAAAAGACAAAAAAACATAAACTTAAAAAAGCTTACATTATTCACCGACATATCTCGTGTCCCTGTCAGACTTTTTTATTTCACTTTTGACACAAACTTAATTAGTAATCACCGGATGCAGGATGGAATGACGTGGCTTTACTGCTTTATTCTGGTATCCGGTACAGCTTTCCTGGTGATTAAGTAATCCTGCAAATCAAAGGAAGCCCAGCAACTGGGTTAATTCTTGTCTCCGGCGTAACAGATCGTTCGTTATTTTCCTTTTCTCACGTCAAAATATATAAAAAAAACTACAAAACATATACTTTGACCATGATAATAATTTCATGAGGACTATAATATAATGAAGTATAATGAAGTATATAATTAAAATATAATGAAAGTAAAAATATAATGAAAATATAATTAAGTATTATGAAGGACGTTTATAAATAGATCGTGCTCTCAGGCTAAAACTCCTTCAATATTCAAATAGTTTAAATTATAATATGGTCTTGAAACAATAAAAGCTGGTAAATCCTTTTTGCAGGACTTTAAATACAATAAACTGTTATTCTCGAAAAAGTATCTTACGATATAAATCTTGCACTTGTACAACCAATTTCGTTATTTGTTATGGGACATGACACATGTTTAGCAATGGGATTTTAATAATGTGAGTCGGAAAAAAAAACTTAATTCATGTATTTATTTACTAACAAATGTTTCAAAACAATTTATTGTAACAATTAGTCCTTTATATAGGTTTATGTCTTTCAGAAAATATTTTAAAATACATATCTATACATATTTAATTATGGTTTAAACCATAATCACACATTGTTTTAATAAACAAAAAAGGTACATTTTAGTCATTAGTTAGTCCTCATGAAATTATTATCATGGTCAAAGTATGTGTTTTGTAGTTATTTTAAAATATTTAGACATAAGTAACGGAAAATAACGACCTCTTACACCCGGAGACAAGAATTAACCCAGTTGCTGGGCTTCCTTTGATTTGCAGGATTAGTTAATCACCAGGAAAGCTGTACCGGATACCAGAATTAAGCAGTAAAGCCACGTCATTACATCCTACATCCGGTGATTACTAATTAAGTTTGTGTCAAAAGTAAGATAGAAAAGTGTGTCAGTGAAATGAGATATGTCAGTGAATATTTTAGACATGTTAGCTTTTTGTTTTATTTTGTCTTTTAAACAAATCTTTACATTATGTTGGAGTTTTCATTTTGTTATAATTCTAAAAGCACTAACAATACTTAGCTTTATAAACCATCAACAGACTACTTAAAATGAACGTTATTGCTTCTGGAACCTAGGCAAAAACCTAAAATACGAAGGAAATATATTCCTTGGTATGGAAAAAAATGGTAATAGCTACTTCCCTATTACGAATAAATACAAGGATATAAGATATATAACTATACAAAAGGTTATATGTCTTAGCTGTCTACACCTGTCTTTGTTAAAAGGAATCCAAGGGAGTTAACATATAGGGTTTGATTACCTCTTTCTCGCAAGATATTGCTTTAATTACTGTTGAACATCTATGATTAGGATGGATTCTTATAATTAAATCTACATGATTAAAATTTCTTTTATGTGTGACTAGATACCAATAAGAGTCTAGAGTATGTGTTAAAACAAATTTAATCGGTATGCAAAGATCAGTGTAAAATTCAACAATATGTTACACTTAGCTCATGTTGGTTCTCTGTGAATGTTAAAGCTAAACGTGATGGTTTTCCTGTTGAAACTTTTTCTAGTTTCTCTAAGAGATTTATTAGCTGAATGTCAAAGGTTAACTCAGTGTACGTTGAAACGCGATTTAGTGTCTTTCACATCCATCGATAACCAATAAAACCTAAGCTACTTGCACTTAACCAATTCTATTTTTATCTGAGAATCCTGGAAGGATCGATATACTGTAACTATCTCAGATTTTTACCGTATCCGTGAGCATTTGCTATGTATTATTTTTACGATACGCGTATTTGATTTATAACTCGTAAGAATAAAACCTTCCAGAATTTAGGTTACAAGTTAAACATCTTTACCTTTGAAGTAAAAGCTCTACTTGTAAAGTCTATAACAAAAGTCTTAATGTTAGATTTATAGACCTTTTGGTTACATGAAACAGATTCTTACCTCTACTGAGAACAACGAGAGTTAAAGCTACATAATACAGATCGGATTCTAATCTGTACAATGACAAATTGTGCGAGTCAACTCCAGCAGCATATTCTGCAGCATATTCTTGTTTCCAACAGAAACCAATGAGGTTCTTGACTACATGTTGAAGTGAAACTAGTTTTAGTTAAGTTACATGGTTAAACAATCTCACCTGTCCAACGAGATGCCTGTAAGTGTGAAGACACTAGCCGCTACCGTCACGTTGGCAATGTAGTTACTGAAGGTACAATAAGGCCTCCCAAACTGCCAATCGCTGCCAAAAAACGGCAAATTGTTATATATATATTGAGTGACTGTAAGAATCCTTTAACTGACTCAATGGACACATTTAGATGATTTTTAATACGATAGAGGTGCAAAGGATTTCAACTGTATTCCAATTGGATTCCGAAGGTTTTGGTGTATCCAAGAGAAATGCATGAACTAAATAATGTGCCTTCCGTTTTCTGGGATTTCCAAGTTTTGAAACTGACTTAGATTATATTGATGTATACAAATTATTAAGGGTGATTTTTGGTGGGGTTTTAAAATGTACATCCATAATAAACATCTTGCCATAACAGTAATACTTTGTACAATATTGTTTTTAATGTATTACAAATCCTTGGTTCATATTTTTCAAAGAATTTGGTCAAATCTAGATTTTCTATTCACTTAATATGAAGTTGGGATACAAAAAATCATTATATAACTTGTTTACATACAACTATATTTTATCCATAATAGATTTATGAATAGAACGATAATCCTTAACCAACGATTTGAATATATCTTTGGATGTGAATAATGTTTATATGCACTTTTTACGTATTTTTTTTCTATTTTACACTACCCCTCATTGAAAAAAAAAAAAATAAAAAAAATAGAATATTCTGTAATATACGTCGTACAGTAGGAACATTGATAACAAGACTCCCATAGGGTTTATAAAATAAGACTTGTTATCCAGGTTGACTTCTTATACAGGTTCGCCATAACATGTAGGGTTAAACAATTCAAGGAGATTTGAAAATTACCCTATGAATCGAGAGTCTCGCTATCGAGGTTCTACAATATGTCACAGTTACTTATGGTATCGCATTTTAAAATGGTATTAACATTGGGAATACAAACTTTAAACATATTTTTGTTATTAAAAACCTTTTTCCAGCCTTAAAATAATACGTTCATTATAGACGGTTGATATGCATGGGAAAAGCTAAATTTAAAATTTAATATAAATTGTAGATATTATTTGTTGGTTAACGATTACGATATTAATATGATGCAAGATTTATACGATATATACAAACATTTTAAAGTTTTAAATGTATTTCAAGACCCATGAACGAATTTCAACAAAAGTCGTAAATCATCATAGACAAAGATTTGGGAGATTTGCATCATAATGTAAAATGATCTTAGAAACCCTTGATAATTCCTTACAACCTAAATTCCTTAGTCAAAACGTCTTCTGTGAGCTTAAGCTTTACTTAATCTGCATTAGTTTAGCTTGGATAATATTTGCAATTTAATACCCTGTCTGCGTTATCCCTTCATTTATCTATACAACAGATTATTCGATCAATTCTATGTAGAAAGTAAGACCTGTTTTAGAGATAGAACCATTTTTCAAAGTATGTTTGTAACTTGTTTTGCAATTTTGGAAATATTACGAAGGTGATTATTCAATTTAACAAAATACAACAGGTTAAAGTAGCTAAACATTTTCCGCCAATTGAGCAATATCTAATAATTTTCCTACAACATGTTAATGATCGACAGAATGTATACTTACTTGTTCAACATATACACAAAATTGAAGATACAGTTGAATACAGACATCATTAGGTCTGCAATGGATAGATTTAAAAGGAAGTAGTTAGTGACTGTGCGCATTCGACGATGAGCTGCAACAAAGAAAGTGAGCTAATTATGCTCTCAAAACATTTGAGCAGTGTTAAATGGAGTAGTTGTTTGAACAATGTCAAATTAGCGCTGTAATATTTTTTTTTGTAAAGAGTACCTACTAATTTAAAAAACCAAGGTTATTTCTGTTTATTAATCCTGTCCCACATTGATGTATCCGGAAACATAGTTGCTTAGTAAGTATTAAATATTTTATTTTCACATTATTATTAATTTTTGTGCTTGTTATTTTGACAGGAGACAAAATGCATTATAGTTTGCTCTACCAGTAGAAATGATGATGGTATATGTAGTTGTTTTTCTTTTTTCTTGACGACGATTTCAAATCCCATTCAATATAATACAACGGATGTTCAATGTTCAATGGCCTATAGCCAACTTATATTCTTTAATAGAGGTTTCCCAAGATTTTTTTTATAATTTATTATAATTACAATTATTATAATTATTTCCGAACAGTATTTTAATGGTATTTTTAGTAAATAAATCTTTCAATCAGTTTCAATTAAATTGGAACCATGTTTTACAGGAAATAAATTCATAAATGAATTGACTATAAGAACTAGTCACATGCTTTTAAACTTATTTAACTCTGTCTAAAAAATGCAAAAGATATTTAACAAACATTAATGAAACATACAATATATTTATTTACCCTTTTGGTTTAGTTATAATCCAAATGTCAGGTTTATGAACGAATAAATACAAACAAATGGAAGTCAATAAAAGGGTCAGTTAAAAAAGTTCTTTCCTTTACCAAGAAAACTGTTATTTCTGGTCTCACGATTGGGCTTCTCAAAATCACAATAATTGGACATCACTTGGACCCCTTAATGTTGCCATGGCAACGAAGATACTTCTAATTGGCCATCAAAGGTAATTTTCCACCTTGTTCTACCATAAATATCTTAGGTAACTGACTTGTAAATTATAGGATAAAAAGGTTCTTTTGACAAATCGTTTACTAAGAATTTTTTTTCCCATGGCTGTGATAATTTATTTAAATAAATAATTTGTATTCATTTAATTAAGTTAATTAAACAATGACATTTTGTATTTTTTTTATGTTCAACCCCTGCACTGCCTCTCAAAAATCTGTAAGAACTAATTGAATTAAAAAACTATTTTAACGATGAAAAAAAACATATTTTACCGTTTACTTGTAATAGTCAAATTAAATTTCAAACGCGAATGGATAAAGATAACTTTCTAACTACAAAAAAGCGTTATCAGGCGAATCTTTTACATCAATTTTAGACGGGCTTGAAGATCTACGTTCTGTACGGATAAAATTCTGATTTAAATGACGTTTTCAATCTCTGGCCATCTTTAAAATATCTAAAAACAGTCACCACACTACAATTGTAATTTTGGAAATGAACTAGAAACACCCATGCCTTTGTCCCACACCGCTCTCTACATGCCTACCACTGATAATGAACTTCCGTCTCTTTAACTCATTTCCTAATTATCATAAGCTGAGGTTGATGTGGGAAAATTAAAATCAATGGCTGAGGGAATATTATTTTTTATAGGAAAGTAAGTTTATGTTCATACAACAATTTTAATAGAAGGTACATTTATATTGTTTATCTTTATTCGTAAGAGACCTCTTTATATCTTATGATTGGTTTTAGTGTTTTTTGCCTTCTGCCTCTCTGTAGTTTTGGCAAAAGATTACTATTTTTCATTTTTTTAAATACACGTTCTGTTCCTCCTCCTCAATAGATGACGTGAAATTGTGTAGGTGTTTGTGTTTGTAATGGCAATATACTGATTTTGTTTGTGTACAAGCACTGCTTATTTTAAGGTTGACAAGGAATTTGATTTATTTAATAGTCAACAAAATATCAATAATTATTAAAATAAAATTATCATTCTTCTAAAAATGGTTATCATGCAGAAAATCTTACTAACTTATAACACGATTAAGTACAGTACAACCGGTCTTTTTTATTATTCATGGTACAACCATAACAAAAATCAGCATAGTAGCTAGATATATACAGACTGTCCCAAAAGTCCCGGACCGGTTTAAAATTTTCTAAACGACAACAGATAAATCAATAAGATTTTGCACATCAACACCACACTTAAAAATCTACTTTTTTAAGGAACTATCAATTTTCTGTCATATCATGGGGACGTCCCACGAGATGTCAGAAGAGATGTAAGACGCCCCAAATACCGACCCAAACATCCCTCTTGGTTCTCCCCCGAATTAAAATTGATGATAAAAAATAAAGAAAAAGTTCGCAAACGTTCAAAAAAAATTTCAAATGAACCATCTTCGAGATCAGTACAAACAATTGCGTTCTGAAATAAAATTGAGAATAAAGACAGATTATGATGCATATATTACAAATATCGAAAAGAACTTGTCTAATAACCCACAATCATTTTGGGGTGTTATAAAGAAGTTGAGAGGAGCAAGTGATAAAGGTCCACGAACTATGCAATATGAAGATAAGGAAATTGAGGGAAATGATAAGATAGCTGAGGCACTGGCTAATTACTTTCAATCTGTTTACCAACCCAACGACCTTGACCTTGACGACCTTGTAAACCAGGCGCTTTGTTCGCCAGTTTTGGAGAATGTCAATTCATTGATTATTTCTGAGATTGGTGAAGTAGAAGTTTTAAATGCTTTGAAAAAAATTAAAATCAAAAAGGTCATTAGGTGCAGATAACATTCCACCTTATTTATTAAAGGGCTGTGCTGATGTTTTAGTCAAACCACTTCACTTCATTTTCAACCTCTCGTTGAAAAATAACTGTTTTCCAGATATTTGGAAGATTGCAAAAGTAGTACCAATTCCAAAAAAAGGTGTTCAAAATGACATAAAAAACCACAGACCAATTGCAGTTGTATCTTCTCCAGCTAAGGTCTTTGAGTGCATATTATACAACAGATTGCTCGGTCACTTATCCAATTTTATCACTCCTCATCAACATGGGTTTTTTCCGGGCCGATCAATTAATTCGAATTTAATAAATTTTTCACAGTACGTTATAAATTCTATTGATCAGAACATTCAAGTTGATTGTGTGTACACCGATTTTGAAAAAGCATTTGATAGAGTTAATCACTTAGTGTTATTGTCTAAGCTGCATTACTATGGCTTCTCTGAGAACACATTAAGATTATTTTCTTCATATTTATACAAACGTAAACAGTATGTAACATACAATGGTGCATGCTCCAACACATTTCTGGTGGACTCAGGTGTCCCCCAAGGTTCAAATTTAGGGCCTTTATTATTCATAGTATTTATAAATGATATAACCAGGTGTGTAAAACATAGTAAAATTTTAATGTACGCTGACGATTTAAAAATTTTCAAAAATATTAACACAATCTTGGATTCTCAACAGCTACAAACTGATATTGATGAACTAATTGCTTGGAGTAAAGAAAATATATTATTTAATGTTAAAAAATGTGCTGTTATGAGTTATACAAGGAAAACTACCCAAACTATTGTAAATTTTCCTTATTCAATGGATGGTGTTGTCTTATGTAGAAAGTCAGCATTTAAAGATCTTGGTGTTGTTTTCGATGGTAAATTTCTATTTGCAGAACACGTGATGAACACTTGTAAGGCAGCTTATTCAGTATTAGGTTTCATTCATAGATCTTGCAGCTTTTTAAGAAATTTAAACTCAGTAAAATTATTATTTTGTTCATTGGTGCGCTCACGATTAGAATATGCATCAGTTGTATGGTATCCTCATCAGCATTATCTTGTAGACATGATTGAGGCGATTCAAAAAAGATTTTTAAGATTTATGTATTTTAAAAAATTTGGTCACTATACATTCAACATTTCATACCACCAGCTCTTGACCATGTTTGATATGACTAGTCTCAGTGACAGAAGGAAGTTGGCCGCCTTATCTTATCTACATAAACTGGTGAGCGGTGTTCTGGACGATAGTGACTTGCTGGGACAAATCAATTTTCACGTTCCACGACACAATTCACGCAGCACTCTTGTATTTACCCCTCGTTACTCTCGTACCAATCTTGGATTCAATTCTCCACTAAATATAATGTCTCGCACTTGTAATGCATATCAGTTTGATATATTTCACTTATCACTAAAAATGTTAAATGTCTGTTTGTTAAATAAATTCAAACTTTCTTATCAACTTTAATTTATAATTTTTCTAAATAGTACATATTTATTTGTTATATATTTATATTATATTTATTGCATTTTTATTAATTGATTCATGGCCATCAGTATTATTTTAGTTAGTATAAATTCTCTTGTTACTGTATATTTAAATGTTATATTGTCATTCTTATTTATATTCTTATTTATATTTTATATTCTTTTATTTATAGTTTGAGTGAAACTGTCACCATTGAAGACGGACATTTTTCCCTAGTTGTGTTTATTATTAATTGTAATACCATGTTAACATTCCTGTTATTTGATTAATGCTACAAAGTAATTGGCATGTGCTGTTTTGTAGCATTGAAAATAAAATAAATAAATAAATAAATAAATAAATGATGTGACAGAAAATTTATATTTCCATAAAAAAGTAGATTTTTAGGTGTGGTGTTGATGTACCAAATCTTATTGATTTATCTGTTGTCGTTTAGAAAATATTAAACCAGTCCGGGACTTTTGGGACAGTCTGTACAATTGAAAACCAATCAAGAATAATATCATAAATATTTAAACTTAAAAAGGTAAAAGATGTTTCATGTTATAATGTAATTTGACGTTCAGCTTAGATTTGGTTAATGTGTTATTCATTATTCTCCTGTAATGTGTGTTTTTCCATCAACAAAAGATTTAAACCCTGGAATACACACTAAAATGTAAAGATTAGAAGCTGTAAAAATAATGGTTTGTTTGTATTGTCAATTATACACAATATCGGGTGATCTATTCGTTCTGTTATCAACACTACAATCGTTAGGTGTTTTAATTTAAAAACTACGAGTACATTACATTTTAATTGTTCAAAACTACTGCACATTTGTAATAAACAATCAGATAAAATATCATCAATACACATGTAAAATTAAAAGGTAAATGTCCAATATTTTACTCACCTAAAACAATCCAGATAACAATGACGTTGCCACCAATGGCTATGATAAGCATGAAGGCAAACATAGCAGTCCAGGCAATCTGCATCAGCCAGGACATCTGATGTCTGGTTGGTCGTCTGCGAGGCATTGTCGTGGTGTAGGACCAATCGTAATCCTCGTCACACCCGAACAACGCCTGAAAACGTATCGATGGTTATTTCATTGACTATTGGATATTAAGTAGACATCTCATATATACAGGGTGGTAATAAGGTCCGAAGACAGTTAAATATTTTCTAAACGACAGCAGGCAAATCAATAAGATCAATAATATCAATGTTCTGTCATATTATGGGGACGTCCCGCAAGGAGTCAGAAGGAAATCTTAAATAGAAGCATAGGTTGACATGTGCATCAAATTAAAGGTCTTTACTAGCAGAATATAATGCCGCAAATTTGAACTCAAACGGACAACCGAGCCAAGAATGACAGTTGTTCAAAGATTCATTTAATTTGCAGTGCTATTATCCGCTTACTCCTCGGGGGGGGGCACGGCCCTAGGAATCAGAAGAAAATTGTTAACGTAAGCATAGGTCGATATGCACATAAAATTAAAGGTCTTCACTAGTAGATTACAATTCCGTAAATTCAAGCTCAAAAGAACGCCTGAGTAAAAAATTACAGTCGTCCAAAGATTCAAAATGGCAGATTCGAGAAATCTTTTAACGGCTGCCATTTTGCGCAGGATCATCCTTTTGAAGTGCGGTTTGCGGCATTGTATTCTACTAAAAAGACCTTTCATTTGATGTACATATTGACCTATGCTTCCATTTAAGATTTTCTTCCGACTCCTTGTGGGTCGTCCCCCTGAAGAGTTATTGGATCACTGAAAATGTGTTAAAATAAAGTTGTATGCTCTGTAACTTGGTACCAAGTATTGTAGCTCTATCTACATTATTTTTTTAAAATATTTCACTGTCTTCGGACTTTATTACCACCCTGTATATAGACGAGCTGTCACAAATTGTTAAAGAAATAACGTAGTTATGTGAGCTAGTGCCTAAAATTATATTTTATACCTTACCTTTTATTGCTGAACAAGTATATCATAACAATTATACCTCAGCAGAAGTCATTTCCTTAGTTTCACATGACAAACAAGTTCGTGTAACGGGACAACTTTCCTTTTTGAATGCATTGCATACTCTTACGTTTAGGGAAAGTTACAGTCAAGTGAATTCCAAGTGTAAAATGTGAGTACCATTAATTTAGGCTGCTCTGAAGATGGATTGAAGTAACCGAAACATCAGCCGGTATATTAACCAGTTCAACATGCCAGTCCTTTCAGGAAAGCTAAGATTTGACAGTTTAGATATAAACATGTTTCTGGTCGAATGACTGTCTAATTGTATCTCAGGTTATAATGTTAATGGTTACAGCACAGAAATTATTTACTAGGTACGATTCTCAATTATTTATTTTTTAGTTCTCCTCTAAGCAAATAAAAGAATTTGTAAAGGAACTTAAAAAGGAAGCTCAGCTCTCAGAGCTGAAAACAAAAACCGATGAAATAGTGTTGGCCGTTGATTAATAAAAAAAATCCAACATCCGTTCAAATATTCTATCCAACAGGCCACTAATTGAATCTGCCTATGAAAGACATCAGACCATATTAACAATAATTGGATTATCACTAATTAGCAATAAGTAGAGAATTCCCTAATCGCTGTTTAACAATGTGTTCTTTAATGTTGATATTACCTCCAGTTCTTTTGTTAACTCGTAATTTAGACAGAAGAGAATGAAAGTCATTACCTTAACGATTGTCAAGGCTGTCGAGGTATTTAGTTTTTAATACAATTTCACCATAAGACTGTGACATAAAAACTACAACTTTACTACAGATTAATTAATTAGTCATAATGAAGCTGTAAGTACCTATCTTTTAACTTAGTTATTCTAATTGAAGAGTCAGCTGACCCTAATTAAAACTACAAGGAGTTCATAACTAGTTTATTTAGTCCTCTGGCCAAAACTACTGTTTATGAATTGTCAGAATGGCAGATAAAAACTTGAAAATCAATTACAATTTAAATTTTTAAAGTCTGTTAACGTTACCCAATGTTTTGAACAAGTTGTTTATTTGAACACTTACATTACTGTTTTAGATTAAATGAATTGAAATATATTTAGGTAGCAATAACCATAAAAAACGTTATAGAAAACAATTTTGAACAATCGTTCCTGGAGTTTTGTGTAAGAAAACCTGCTTCTTGGGGGGATTTTGTATGTGAATGTTTTTGATATTGAAAGGTCTAGCAGAAAAAGATGCCAAAGCTTATTTTGTTACCAACAAAAAAACTTAAAAATAGTTAAACACCACAATCAAAAATGACAACAAAAATGATTAGTTGAAGGGATAATTAGTTCTCTTATGCGAAGTGACGTAATACCTATTCCGCTATTGAGCTTAACCTTTCAGATAGAAGTAAGTTATAAGGCATTAAGTCATTAACTCATTTACCAAAAACTAATGCATTGGTAAAGCCAACTTAAATAGGAATACAGTTTTTCTTATAATTTAGAAAAAAACCTACTAAACTATCAACAAATCGTGACCAGAGTAATAATTTTTGAGTGATCAAATGATTTACAACTACAATTATTGCTAGCTTTCCGTTCATGGGCTGCTGGTTTGAACCAAGTGGAGGTGGTTTTGAACCCATAAGCCTTTTTTTATCAATAAATAATATTACCTAACAAAAATATTAAGATATTTAGTGACCAGACTAGGTTTTGGGCTGTCCTTTTCCAGTCTTTTTAAAAGATGTAAGAAAGAATGAAATGAAATGAATAGTAGAAAGGCAACAAAGATAAAGAATTTGCCCATTTTTAAATTAAAATTTGTGAATCTATTAGGTTTGATGTTTCTGGAATGCGCTGTATTCAATCTGCAATCGTATTGACGCTCGACATTCTTTTGTTATGTAAAGGCAAACTGATTTATGCCTCGTCGACTTTGATTTTAAAAACCCGAAGAGGTGAGGGTTTACCCCTTTTTGTTCAGTGTACAAGACAATTAATAACATTTACCAAATACATAGAATTGCAAAATATAATTTTAGTGATAGTATTTTAAAACCAGATGATTATTTGCGTGTTGATATTTCTCAGCCCTATCTGTTTTGTGTTTGTGCAATGGTATATTCACACGAAACTTAATACATTTTTAAAAATACTTTATCCGATTAAAAGATAAAAAAAACATAAGGATATCCAAATAAAATGGGAACCCTGATTGATTTCAACGAGGAATGATCGGAATCAAAACTACAAAACAGAATATTTTACATCCTTATTTGTTATTAGTAATTATTTGCGCAATCTTTCGTTATCAAACACGTAATCCCCTCTTGACATGTTTTAGGCTTACACTTAATGACTACTTTTACAAAAATATAAATTATGTTTTATGTTTGAAGAATAAATCCTTAAAGAACCTTGCTAAACTATTTTACCCACGGACCTTAAAATTATTGATCAGTTAGTTTCCCTGTTAATTTTGCTCATCTTATTCATTTAATACCTTACAAATTATTCCTTCTCTTGGAAGTAGCAAAACGATTTTGAGAAATATTTGAGGAATTCTAATAAAGATATTATTCTTCCAATCCAGATTCTCCTTTTCTTTGATTTTATTTTTGAATAAATGAAATCCGGTAGTCTATAGCTTTTGGCACGGTATGTGCCTCCATATGTTCAAACATTTTAAAAAATAAATCTATGATTACCCTGTCAATTATTAGGAATGCAGCCATTTTAGAGTGTAAACAAATTATCTTAATTCTATATGCAATTCTTTTAGACTATCATAGATTACAAGATAACAGATTAATGACACTTTTGGTGATTAATACCATAACATTATCATACATGTCTTTAATTTGTTTTAGACCCACCGTTACAAGCAATCTTCTTCCAATAATCCACCTCATTTTGTTTACCGTCCACCACAGTCTGATCCAAAAAGTAGCCTTGGTTACCAAATAAAAATCCATAAAATAAGTACTCTCTACAAGCCTATCTGGACCCATATTAACTTTTCTATAATTTTCCCTTTAATCCTCTCTATAATATTCATATGAGCATTTTGCTTAGTGATGTTTTGTTTTGTACCATATAAGCGTCACCGAAGTATAAACATAGTTTTTCCACAGACACCCGACAAAGTTGGCTTCCTTGTACTGTTTATAGTACAGAAAGCTGCTAATTGCTGCATATTTATACTTTGCCGTACGGTTTATACTTTGTCGTACGGTTTATACTTTGCCGCACATCAGGATTCCAACGAAACAACACAAAACAGCGTGGTTCTATTATACACGTAATCCGTGTACGCTTGGAAATAGGTTGGCAACACTTAAAAATAATAATACTATGAGCAGCTGATTGACTATTATAACTACGTTTTAACCTGTCATTTCGTGTTTATAGTTTCGGTATTTCTGAAATTTCTGGACTTTTCTTTTAAACGTTTTTAAAACGTTCCTACGATCTTAATAAATAAGAAAATACCTTTAAAGCATTTTTTTTAGGCGCGGAAACCACTTCAAATTACAAAAACATACGGAACTATATTCTCAAAACGCGGAGCACATTTCTTGCCGAGGAAAAATAGAGGAGTGATACGGACAACGGGTACTACTTAGGGCACCATTTGTGTTGCCAGCTGAACCTAAAAACGTGCAGCAAGTGCCACTTTCACCACTAGTTACACAAATGACTATTACCTACGACCGTTTTTTAAAGTAGCCATTTCAGTCCAGTTCTTAGAATTGAAAAGTTTCACTTTACAGCTGTTTACTTTCATATCCGCATAGTTTCATTTCATATCCGCATAGTTTTCTCATATCCACACAGGTAACGGACCAATGAGGTTCAAGTATTGAGAGAAAAGAATTACAATTGTAATGCTTCGAACGTCAACTAATCAGCTGATCAGCTGATCAGTTGACCAATTTAATTGTTGATCCGACTTGTTCATGTTGATACTCGCGTATTCTTAATTAAGTTGGTGGAAGTCCAAAAATAAATGAAATATTTGCCGAATTGTACCTGATACAATATTATTTATGGTAAGAATGCTGCTAGCAATGTAATATTTAACGAAGTT